GTAGATTATTAAAGTCCCCTATCACCACCCAGGGCAATAAGGATCTAGTCTTGAGAGTACCAAGTAAATCCCATGTCTCCTCCCGCCTACCACGCTCGGGGATACCATACATGCATGTCATGCGCCATAACTTATTAAACAAGCTTACCTCCACATCAATATGACTCTGCGAATAACTTAAAAATCTCACCGTATTATTCTTCTTCCACAAAAGCGTCATTCCTCCACTCAAACCATCGTTATCAACATAAAACAAACCTTCATAACCAAGCGTAACCCGGATCCGTTCTGCATGTATCCGTGGTACCTTGGTCTCCATCAAAAACACAAAATCAGGCTTCTTACTGGACGCAAGGCCCACAATCTGTCGAACTGTGCGTGGATTGCCCAAGCCACGACAGTTCTAGCTCAGAGTACTCATGATGATGGGCGGGGCTGGACACCAGCTCCCGCCATGGACAAGTTTTTTGAAACAGCTGCAACTGTTACCTCATCGTTTCCACTTCCCTCTCCCCCCTCCGTTCCATGTCTACGACGCTTTGCCGTAGCCACCACCACCTCATCCTCAGACATACTCGTGGGTGTGACAGCCCCACTTCCCTGTCTCCCATCCACTGCACGTAGCTTGACTCCCAGTGGTCGTGGTTTCCCGCCTACCGGAACAAGCCAGCTATCCCCAACCGCTCTAGGAGCGCTCCGGGATCCACCAGCTCGCAAATCCGGACCGTACAGGTACCTCTCAACCGGAATTCCAGCCTCCCTAGCGTGTATACAGAAAGTATGCAAGTGACCCATACAGCCACAAAAGTAGCAAAACTTGTGCAGCCGTTCATATCTGAAATTTACCCATGCCGTTGTCCCATCCCTCTTCATCAACCTCATCCTCCTTCTAAGTGGCCTATCAACCGAAATTGACACCCGAATACGATGAAACGTTAGCCATGGCGCCCCCTCAAACCGGTCATCATGTTTAACAAAAGAACCCAAAAAATTTCCTGCCTGCTCCAGAATTGCATGCGACGTGTATCCCTTAGGCATGTCATGCAACTGTACCCACATATCAATCATATCCAGCTCCACATCCACAGGATTCACCCCGTCTAATAACTCCCGACACACGAGAGCATTATTCTCAAAGGCCCAGGGTCCTCCATTCAGCACGTATTCCATATCTGTCTTATGGAAAAACACAAACAAGAACAAACCCCTCTGAATCTCCGTTACCTGTACTCCACGTACCGGCTGCCACACAGATGCCAGAACCTGTCTCATAAAATCCAATTTTACCATTTTTTGTGTCAAAAACCGCCCAACAATCCTCCAAGTCTCTTCATCCTCCTCCCCATCACCCTCTACTACCCCATCCCCACCTTCCGGCATAAACACCGCCCCTTCCTCCTCCATCAAAGCCATCTCCGCCCATCTATCCGTCAACTCCGCCACACCCCCCTCTACCCCTTGCTGCCGTGTAGTCCTCCCAACCCTCCTCCTACACTGATCCGTACTGCCACCATTCCCCCCTCTACCCTTACTACCCACGTCTCCCCTATCTCCCACAACATCCCCATTCAAACCGCCCACTTCCTCTCCAACACTACTGCCATGATCCCCTGCCAACGCAACACCCCCATTCCCTAATCCACTGCCTTGTTCCCCCCTTCCCCCACTTTCCCGTAGCATCCCTCCCTCCAAATTGAATTCCTTCCCCACTTGCCCCCAATTAATTGCTTGCCGAATTTCTTGTCGGCCATCCATCATCCGTTGCTTACGAACCTCCTCCGACACTCGTTTTCCACGCGTTTCTTCCATCTCGGATTGCCCCACATCACGCCGGTTGTCCACACCATCCATTACAATATCATCGGCCATCTTTCAGGAAGGATACGAATAGAATTGTCTGAAAACCTAGGAAAACCCTAGTAGGTATGCAAAAACCCTAGAGAGAATCTAGAGAGAAAGTTAGGGATAAAAAAAAACACAATAGTTTGCACTTACCGCGGAGTACAGTGTAAATACAATACATTTGAACAATTGAATTGGTTCAGTGTATGAAATTTCCAAATTAATTTCACATTACTTAATAGGCTAATACATTAAGACTTTAGGTGTAATGAGATTCAATGAATGTAATCAGAAAATAAAGATCAAATTTCACTTTCACTCTTCAATTATTAGGATATTGTTACCATGGCAAAATTATTAATGGTCCACACAATGTTATGTGGACCATAACAAAAATTACATTTTTAATATACTAAATGTACATTATTTTTGTATTGAATGTACATTATATAATATAATGTACACTTAAAACAAAAATAATGTACATTATTTTTGTATTGAATATACATTATTTTTGTACTGAATATACATTATTTTTGTACTGAATGTACATTATTTTACAGTAGACAAAATATGGTCCACAACTTGTATGGACCATGGTCCACACAATAATGATTGGTTACCATGGATTAGGGTCACCTTACATTGTGGACCTTGGTCCAAAACGACTTTCAAATTATGTACCCGCAGTTAATAAATTATGTACCTATTACAATTAACATATTATGTACATACAGTTAATAAATTATGTACATATTACAATTAACGTATTATGTACCTTTTGTTGATAAATTATGTACATATTACAATTTATTTACAGATACATAATCTGTTAACTGAAAGTACATAATATGTTAATTGCAAATATATAATATGAATGTTGTTTTAGACGTGGGTCCAGGTCCATAATGCAATATGGAACCTAGCTAATCCATGGTATAATTTGCCAATATATCAAAATCCAACCCTTTAAACCTTATTACTCTAACTAGCAATACATTAAAAATGAACTTTCAAAAAATGAATATGTAGAATATTATAAATGAACATTCATTATACAAAAATAATGATTTTGTATGTTAGTGATTCATCTTACAATGTGAATCATGATCCACAATATAAAGATTGCCCATTGGTGGCATAGTTCAAAATAGGAAAGAGGGTGTTACACTCATTATGGTGGGCTCCTTAATTAATTATAAGCACTAGGCACTGGTCTTTTCACTTAATTTGTCGTTGAGTTACCACAATTTACTATTCCACTATCCTATCGGGTGAATGTGGAGCCCTAAGGACGAGAGAATTTCGCTTTGTGAGAAAAATATGAAAGTGCGTGCCTTCTTTCTTTTTCTTTTGTTTCTCCACCTAGTTTTACAACAACTAGTTTTGGCATACATTTAACTATATATAATTACTAGTTTTTTCTATGCGCGATGTGCAAAAACATATGCCTAATATTTATATTTTTTAAAATAATCAAAAAATTCCTACTAATTAAAATCTATATGAAATCAAATTTATGTATTATAATAATCCAATTATAATGTCTACAAATATTATTATCATTAAAGAATATAAGAAAATATATAGTGGATGCATGTGCATGCATGGTAACAATAATGGAAAAGATAACGGAAGTTATAACGGTAGGGATATTTTTGTCCAAAAAATTATATAGTACAATTCTAAAAGCACAATGTACAAAATGATTAACATTAAAAACATAGACATAAATGAGGGATATAACTTTGATTGAGACTTATTATATTTTTAGATTAGATTAGATTAGATTTAGATTAAAAGTACTATACAATGTAATATGAATACATGATACAATAAAAACTCTCATAAAGTTTACCCATCATTCGTTACAAAAAGTTAAATCTTCATTTTAATGCTCTTGAGAATATTATCAACTTTATTACAATTAATTAATGTCACATGCATGTAATTCTATGTTCCTATATTACCTTTCTTTTCAACCTTCATATTTACCATATTCATAAAAGGAATAATATTACACGTATAAATGTAAGCCCGCATTATTTGCGTATTCTAATTGATATAGAAAAAGTTTACGATTTTATTTGTTTCATTTTTTCTCCAATAAAATCATGACATAAATCAGAGTTTTATTCTCTATTAACCATTTATTATACTCTCTCAAAACAAACAAACAAAAAAAAAATTAAAAAAAAATTAAAAAATAAAAAAAAACAAACAAACAAACAAAAAATATCTAGCCTATATATATAGAAACCTTAAACAAAAGACCAAAACGTTAATATTTACAAGTATTTAACATATTTAATTTGAAAATGTAATATTATTATATTAATTAAAGCATTAACGGTCAACAGATAACGTACGTTAATCTTCCATCTGCCAACAACTTACCATCATTACCTTTTTCTTTGTGACTTTCGATGGTTTTTGACTTTTGACTAAAGAAAATAAATATTAAATTAACTTTTACATTAAATGGTTCAAAGTATTACTGTAAAAGTTTACTTGTCAACCCCTTAAAAAAATAGAAACTAATAAAAAAAATTTTCAAAATCGTTAGAAAATCTATTAACCTCATTCTAAACTTTTTCTTTGCTTTGGGACCAACATTTTTCCTTTTCGATATTAAATTAGTTTATATCAACCAATTTTGACTTATTTGACGACTATTAGCTGTTTGCTTTGGTTAAACATTCAATATAAATGTTTGATTAATTAGCTTTTTGTAACAGCTTATTGTTCCAAAATGCTAAAATTTAAAAATTTGCTCAAAGCAGGTTTTTCAATGAGAAAGTCATTTTGCATATAATAATCAGCTATCAACTAACAGCTAATTTACCAAACATCTTTATACAATTAACTAATGTTATCAATTAGTCAAACCCACTAATTCAATCAGCTAACAGTTATTTACCAAACATACACCCCATATATGTTCAACACTTTTACAATTGTTGCAATCAATCGGCTAATAAATACCTTAATTTGGTAGTAGATTATGGATGGGGTAACAATTAATTTTGCAACTTTTCTGGTAGTAGATTACAGTGGAATCTTGATCTCGATCTCATAAATTTATCTTCTTCTATGTATATATGCAGTTTGCATCTCTACTGGTTGAACTTGCAATGAAGCTTCTGCAAAAGTTCTTCTTCCTCAAGAAATAGGTAAGTGGCTTAATCCACCTTTCAAATCATAAATCTTGCAACTAAGTATATAGAATCAAGATCAGATAAGAATAAAGCTTCTCGCGAGAAGTGTGAGCTAATCTAAACTGTCCATCTTCAATTTCATATAGTAAACTAATAGTGATTATTTCTTATATTTTTACAAACTCTTCTACATTATAATTTTTTTCATTGGTTATTTTTAATTTTTATTATCTTTCTTCTTTATTTATAAATTTACTATTTTTTCTCAGTTAAAATTTATTTCATCGCGTAATGCATAATATCGGGTGTTGCTATTTGCATCACCCTTTGATCAAAAGTAGGTATAAAGTATCTTGAAATTGTAAAAAAATGAAAACTTTTAATAATTACATAGGTGGTGTAAATAGCCAAATGGGAGTTCATTTTGCTATTTGCACCACCTTAGTCAAACCTTATTTATGAGGTGTAATTAATAATTTTTTAATTCAAAATTTAATTAATTAAAAAAAAAAAAAAAAAAAAAAAAAAAAAAAAAAAAAAGAGAAGAAGAAGAAGAACCCGTCACCTTCTCCGTTGAGAAGGCAAGGGGCTGCCTTCTCACCGGAGAAGAAGGCAGCCCCTCGCTTTCTCATCGGAGAAGGTGACGTGAATTTTTTTTTATTTTGTAACTGTGCTGCCTTCTCACTGAAGAAGGCGACGCAGATAGCTTATTATATATCTGGTTAGTATATATTTCCAATAAAGCAAATGACGGACAAAACATTTAAGATATAAACCTGTTTTATATTAAAGCTGACAGTCCAATCAATGCACCATAGTTATATTATAATAGTCAACTCATTTCATTATTATGCAGATTTTGGTAAATATTATGACAATATGTTATAGAACCCTAATCTGACATTAATGGTTTCTCCATGTATTTATGCAGAGATAATCTCTGCCATTTCTTATTATGTATTTCTTTAGCTCTTCATGTACCATGGTAAGATCATCTAAACTTACTTCTTCTTCTTCTTTTTTTTTTTTTTTTTTTTTTTTGCTAACATGATCATTAATTATTCTTTTATGTTTTCCCAGAATTCTTTTGCTGTAATATTGATTATTGGCTTAGTTTCTTCAAGAATTGCTTCCCAGGTTGTTGGGAGCAGTTTCAATGTCCTGGATTATGGAGCTACTGGGGATGGCAGTACAGATGATTCACAGGTTTTTTTTTCTGTAATTTTTGGGATTAAAATTTAATTACTTTTTTCTTCATTTTTGAACCCTAATATTATTGAAAAATAATAATAATAATAATAATAATTATTATTACATTTTGATTCTTGACAGGCATTTTTGAATGCATGGAAAGATGCATGCTCTTCAGCTGCAGGATCTCCCCTACTCATCATCCCTCAAAACCTCAAGTTCTTGGTTCATCCAATCACTTTTAGTGGCCCTTGCAATTCTGAGAAAATTAATTTTGCGGTACGAGAAAAAATTTATGTGACAATTTATACGATATAAAGTACAATACAAGAAATAATTTATGTGACAATTTATACGATATAAAGTACAATTACAGTGAAACACCGTAAAAAAATTCTTAATTTCTCATATATAGATAATGGGAACAATTTTGGCTCCCGCCTCACCAAGCATATGGGGAGATGGGGATCCAAGCCAGTGGCTCGCATTCCAAGACGTTACCGGGCTCAACATCTATGGCTCGGGAACAATTGATGGACAAGGAAAAGTCTGGTGGGATCAATCTTGTCGAGATCATCCGGGTTTGGTATGAATTATTATTTGCAATAAAACTAAATGGTGACCATTTTGCCTAGTTATATTTTAAGTTACTTTAATTCTCCATCTCTCAATTCATTAAATATGCAATTTTATTGTGGATTAATTTGACTAAATTATTGTTCAACATGTAATAACAGTAGGTCAAGATTATGATGATTATATCAAAATTTGGAATTTAATACTAATACTAATATTTTCAGGAAGGGTGCAAAGGCTTGGCCCCAACTGTAAGTACTTCTTGATCCCACACAAATTAATGCCTGAAAAATTAATAATTTATTTGAAATAATCTTGAAAATGTGATAATTAATTTGAATTTTTTTTTTTTGTTTTTTTTTTTTAACAGGCATTAAAGCTGATTTCTTGCAATGAAGGGTCTCTCAGCAACATTATGTTCAGCAACAGTCCTCAATCTCATGTACTCATCTATGGCTGCAATGATTTTAGGGTTGACAGTGTAGCCATACAATCTCCCGAAGACAGTCCTAACACCGATGGCATTCATATTCAGTCTTCCCACCAATTATCCATCACCAATTCCAAAATAAGTACAGGTACTATCTTAGTTGTCTCTATTCTAATATATCAAATTAAACAATGTGTTATGTAAATTAATAACGAGATTGCACATTATATTCATGATGAATAGGGGACGATTGTGTTTCTATTGGAGACTACACGTCAAACGTTGAGATTAACTTTCTTTCTTGTGGTCCTGGCCATGGCATTAGGTTAATTCTCAATTTTTGTCATTGATGTTTATTTGAAAGTAAATTTTTTATAAATTAACTTAAAGTGGGTATTAATGAAAGATTTGTTGACATTGTTGATACTAGTATTGGAAGCTTGGGGAAATCTGGTAATGAGGTACAAGTGGAGAACATTCATGTCAGCAATGCTTTCTTATATGGGACAACCAATGGAGCTCGGATCAAGACATGGCAGGTACTAAATATTACCATTTCTTTTATGTTTCCAAAAATGTTTTTTTATTTTCTCAATTTTACAGAGATTTTGGGTGTGTTTGAAAATTTAAAAAATAATTTTTGAAAATCATTTTTTGAATTTCTAATATTTAAATGTGGCTGAAAAATCAAGTCAATCAAAATTTAGCGAAAATCATTTTTCACAAACCAAAAAATGATTTCCGATAACAATCACAACCTTGGTTTCCAACGGAAATCATAGGTTAGTTTCCACCGAAAACCAACGTTTTTTTTTTAATAAATAACATTATTTTTAACATTATTATAAATAATTATAAATAATTTTATTTTACATTCTAAATAAAACAATTAAAATTTTATTATACAATTCTACTGATTTTCCAAAAATCATTTTTCAGATGTTATTTTCCTAATTTCCAAACACTCAGTTGTTTTAGCTCAACTCTTTCAACTATTGGACAATACACCCCTAATTTTACAAAAATTATACATGTATATGTAATTTTCAGCAAAAATACTTGCTAATCAAACATGAAATGTGGGTCAAATTACAATGAAGGCTCACAATTCTCGTTACTCGAGGTGAAAATAGTAATATTTTTGTGAAGTTAAGAGTGCTTTCTGCGACGAGCTAAAATGACTAGAACTCCATAATTAAAACACTAAAAAATGCAGGTTTTTTTCCCTAATGTTTTTCATTCAAACAAAGGTTAGTCTGACCAAATCTTTTCTTCTAAAATGTCATAGGCTGGGAAAGGGTATGTCAGAAATGTCATATTTGAGAATCTTATACTTCACACAGTCAACAACCCCATAATCATTGATCAACACTACTGTGACGACCCAGGCGCCTGCCAGGAAACGGTAACATAACCCTCATTTTCTCGATAAAATTCTACAACACCAGTCAAGACAACACGACATTATAAAGATAATTTTCTTATTTTGAACATAACCTTTGATCATAGGGAAGTGGAGTCCAAATCAGTGATGTTACGTTTCGGAACATATATGGAACATCAGGCACAGATGTGACGGTAAACCTGAATTGCAGCAAAGTCGTACCCTGCAAAGACATACACCTGCAGTTTGTTCAATTAGCGGCAGCACAACCTGGGAATCTTGCTACTGCTAGCTGTAACAATGCTTATGGGCAGGAATTTATAGTTGTACCTGGTCCTTGCTTGATCTAATCTTGAGCTTCATATCTATTATGTTATGAACAATCAATCAATGATTACAATTACAAGGCAAGATGTATTGGTATAAATCTTGATTGCTGGAAAGCTATGTCATCATGTTGTGATTCTTATAAAATACAATTTGGAAAACCTACACTGAATTTGAATTTGCCCCTTTTGTTTTTACATAGTACCTGATTTGATTGCAGTAGATGCATAATACACATGAAATATTTACCTAAGACGATTGACGGAAGAAAGAAATTGGCCTAGTTTAAGGATGGTAAGCGATTACAAAACAAAAAAGGGAGAAAAACAGACTTGTGGGTTGTGAGTTGTCTGGACTTTCAAATCACAACGCTAACTTCTGAATCGCCGTTTCCTTGAGAGAACTTGCCAGTCTTTGGAACACTTTTAGGTCGTGTCCGATTTTGTCCTGTGATGAAACAAGAACCGGAAAATACCATGTTAGCTTTACATAGATTTACTAAATGAAACAAAAACAAGTTTGAGTGAGCCTGGCATGAGAAGAGATTGTGTAATAATAGGGTTTTCAGGGAACATGGCATCGATGTTGTAAAATTTAACAAAAAAGAAAACAGTCTTATGGGTGGGTTTTGTTTTTAGCAAGCAGACATACCTCGCTTAGCAATCCAAGCCTTTCAAGGGTGGAAATTAATTTCCCACAAAACAAGCTCAACCCCTCGTTAGTATCAGGCTTCGAACCATATGTGAGCCTTTTTACAGACTGACTAGAATTACATTCATAAGAACTGAAATACACAATAAATAATGGCATAAGTCAGTAATAAAATTAAATGAATATTAGATTTAAAAAACAAAATTGGATTACAAAATCATACCTGTCTTGAAAATGGAACAGGATAATGTTCATGACATTTTCAGAAACCAGAAGCAATATGGTAATAAGCTTATTTCTGTCTCCAACAATTCGACACATCTCCATCATTGCAATATATCTCCTGCAATTACAAACTCTTTTAATGGTTGATGATGGCAGTAGTAGCTCTTCTGTGGGGGTATATACTAGATACGTTCGAAAATAAATCAGAACAAATCTGTTTGTGATTCTAGTCTAATTAGTGAATAGCTGAACAGAATTTAGTGGTAAATGCGAGATGATAAGATCCATCACTATCCCTGAGTCTTTGAAAAAATAATGCAAAGGAAACCACAAACCTTTTTTGCATATTTTCTGATGACGAAACAGAACCTTGGCGAGCGCACATATTGATAATTTCGTCAACTTCTTGTCTTGATAATTCATTGATATCTTGAATCTGCAGAATAATAGAACATTTAACACCTAAATGCAAATTGAATATAATAGTCTTTTGATTATGCCATGATTGAATGCGCAACCTTGTTAAACAGAAGATATCTCTCCTCAGCAGCCTTTTCTAGAGCAGTAGTAAGAGAGTTCAGAAGAAATCCAAGCAAAGACAAAGTTGGCTGTTGTTGTCCAGCAGAAGCACGATAGTCCATTGGACCATCAGAGACCTGATGCAAATTCAAAGGATACGGATACAAAATTTTGTTTGACCTTCATTAATCAGAAATAATTACAAGACAAATCCAAAATAATCTAGATTATTGAATATCAAAAAAAAAAAAAAAACCAAAAAAAAATTTAAAAAAAAAATAAATAAATAAAAGAAGCTAGAGCAAAACCATTCTAAACATACCTGGAGCCGTAGAGACTTCTTTGTGACCAGAAAATATAGATAAGAGCTCAGACTAAAGCAGAGACATGATGTGTTCACTTCAGCCTTCCTACGATTCTGAACAATTCACAGAGGGAACAGAAAACAAAATGGTTAATTCCCCTACAGTTGACAGTTACATCTCACATGTTTTTACTCAGATATGAACCCATTGCCTCTAGCCAAGAAACAATGACCTGATGAAAAGTACAATTACCTCTATATAGCACATTGATTTGTTCGAAATAAAAGAATCTAGATCAAGTGAGAAAATAACACGCATCATCGTGAACAGCCCTTGGACAAAGCCATAATCATCACTTGCTTCATATGGCCATATCTGCAGAGAAAAATGTATGTATCATACAACATCACCATCACATAGATAGAAAAGAAAAAGAAAGGAACAGAGACAAAACCGTCAATGGCAATATTAGAACATCTATACAAGGGATTACAAGGATATGCAAGTATACCCTAGTTCCTAAATAAAGTACTTGCCAAGCAAGACCCTTTGAAATCCATATTAGCTCTCAACTTGACACTAACCTTTGTAAGTATGCTGACCACTAAATTTACTTGTTCCATTGTCAACTCATCAGCACCAGAAAGATCCTCACGAAGAATCTGATCAAAGAGTAATGCATGCCCTCTAATAAATTCTAGAACTCCTCGGACAACTTTATTTGAAACCTGTTACATGCCCATCATGTAATTCAGAATTAAGAATTAGCACCATGAACAAAATACAGATATAACAAAGGAATTACTAGAAGAATTGATAGCTCAAGGAAAAAAAAAAAAAAAAGTAAAAAGGAAACAGCAGTAAAGAGCTGTTGTCGCCACCAAAAAGTACACAAAATAATACACTACTCTGAGGACAACAGAGAAGTTTTCAATTAGAGCAAAAGGAAAGAGCAATTACAAAAATTTTCAAATCTATCATCTAAAACTATAGCATGCAATGGTCAAAATAACCTTTAGAAAGCAAAGATACAATTCAGTCAAGAAAGATGCTGACCTCAAAGAATTCAGATGTGTCAACTAATGAAGTCAAAGAGAACACCAATCTAAGTATTGGAGCAATAACCATGCGTTGTTTGTCAACATCAACTGACAATTCTCTTCCAAATTTAGTCTCAAAGCGGTGGTGGCTTCCCTGATAAAAAGTTGTATTCTGTATGTTAACTTCAATTGATAAAGGAAAAAGTTACCATATCCACATATGGAGAATTTCTGAATGACCTTAATTTGCATTTTTAGCGCTTTGCATGAAGAAATATGCTCCAATGCATCCATTGAAAATAGAACCTGTGCCCCCGATTTCCTGTATTTATAGCTTATTCTCAACAACAGAGCAAGTTCTGCTTCAAGAGTGCAGACACGCTGCATTGACTCCAAAGCAAATCCATCCTGTAAGAGGAAACAGAACTTAGTATATCAGGTTTTCATAAGCAAATTCGTATCAGGTCTTCAAATTGAATTGAATGTAGCACACAAATACAACTGAAGCAGAAAAGGGATGATGGAAATTCTCAAGGTTATGATAGAGAGGATAGTAGAGCAAAATAAAAATTCAAAAGCGAAAGACATAATGCTATTTGTTAAAACACAGCATTCATTGGTTTTGTCTACCAGTTCACTTAGATATTGATACTCAATATATGCATGTGTTCAATAACCTTCCGCCAATAAAGAGAAAATTTTTATATAAATTTTAGATGTCTTTCAGTTCCCAGGTTCCGAAAGGCAAGATAAAAGCTTACTTAAACATTTAAAAATAGAAGATGCTACTTGTTAAACCACAACATAACTTGGTTTCATTTACCATTTCACTTAGATTTCAAAACTCAAAAGTCAAAACTCAATATATTCCATACCTCTCTACCACCCTCTAACCCCCTACCACAATTCCCCAATTCAGTTTCCAACTCCTATAGTTGATAATATGAAAAATGCTTTAATTACAAATGGGAAAATCTAGATACTTGAGACAAAAAGTTACTGGTAAAAGCTTTAATAACACTAACACTCAGATACTGAAAGGAGTCATACCTGATATGAAAAGTTAGTGATGCTTATAAGGCAAGACCTGAGGAAGCCTCGGCTTTGAAGTTGGTTCAAGAAAAACTTCTCGTGATCAATAGAAATAAGTGCATCCAAAACATAAAGAGAGACTGTTTTTCCAGATTCACTTCCATGAGTTGCATCTTTTATGACCTGTGTTTTGAATTAAAAAAAAAAAATCCTTAAAAAGTACAAACTATGAACTATGAAGAAAGTAGTACTTTAATGTGTAAAAAAACAGTTCAGTGAGCACATTTTGTAAGTTCTGCATTTTCCTAGTGATAATATTCAAGATGGAAATGTGAAAAGTCACAACCAACTACAATTATACCATTTTAAAATTTTGGGAATCTCATACAGACAAAATTAAAGAGAAGGAATAAAAATACATTTTTTAAACAAGCAACTTTAGTTCCAAATCCACAAAGTGTTGAGCACCCTCCACAACAGTTGATCTGGACAGTCAACCCTTTTGAAATTTGATTTTAGAAAAGTCAACTTTATGAGAACATGTTAAAGAGATAGCAAGGAGGGACACTATCAAACGATGAAATTAACACTCAATTTATAAATATGGCTTCTTTATGAAACATCCAAGCTAAATATATGGCTCCTCGGTAATTTTAACTGGCAGAATTATTCACTATACCACCATGAATGGCATAAAAAAACAAGAGACTAAAATTAAAAATACCCACCAAATCAAGAATTGCTTGAGCATCCTTCCTCAAAATAGAAAAGTTTGCATGTGATAATTCAGCCTGATCTTTGACAATCTGGTTATGGGAATAAAAAACATAAATTCCAGTATCATCTATGTGCCCGTTTCAAAAAGAAGACAGATGAAGGGCAATAGGAATCTTTTCTGCACTAATATTTGTATAACCTTTTCAAGATCGGAATCTTCATTATCCTGCTCATCCATTGGAAAGAACTGCATCACTGAGTTAGGTATACTAGGATCAAGCATATGCTGACAGTACTGGAAATAGCTAAGAAGCAATGTGTATTGACTGAAATAAGGGAAATGGAACAAAAATCAGGAATTATTTCAAGAAAATAGAAAAGTGAATGCAATTTCAGCATAATAAAATCAGTACCGCCTCCTCAAAGCTTCAGATGATTCTTGTCTGAGAATTGCCATTATAAGTTTGAACAAAATAGAGTGGCATGCACCATTAGATAGCTGCTTTGTCATTATTATGTCAAGGTAAGTGACAGTCTCAGATTGTAAGCCACCAGGGCATAAAAATCGTACATCACGAAGCTTCGCCATGCATGTTAGACCAACCTTATCAATTTTCAAAATCATATAAGTTGACAGAGACAAAGTTAATTTACTCTTTGGCAGCAACCACTGCAATTGAGTTAACAGAAACAGGAGGATAAAACCTGGGTCAAAATCAGTGCCATCTTCAGTGAACAGTCGGGAGAACCAGAAGCATTGAGTGAGGCATCTAGTAACCTAGGGATTAAAATCAAATTTTAGAAATGATATTATGAAGAACAAAGGAAGAAATAAAATGAAGATGAAAATGCAACTCACTGAAACAATATTTCAGTTCGACTTTGAAGAGAGGATAATCTTCTAGATGCACAAATCTACAGACAAACATATATTCCATAAACATAGAATGTAGTGGCGAAGAAACAAGAAAAAATCACAGATCTAGGCAATGAACAAAAATCAGGAAATTGATAAAGAGAAAGTAGACCTCAACAACTTGAGACCAGCCAGTTAGCACATGAAGCTGAGCCGCTTGTTCTTCAAGATTTTTGTTGTATTTCCATCCCCATCTCAACAATTGTTGTACCGTTTCTCGAATTTCATTAAGTTCAGCATCAGTGCCAAAGGAACTTAGCTGGGGATTATACAAATTATATTTCTAGAAAGGGAACTAGTCAATACAGTGTACTTACATATACAGCTTGCAGTGAATAAACAACTATTAAAATATAAAGTTTATGGGCTAAATTAAGGAGGAAAAATCATAAGCAGAGAGCAATTAGCAGACAAAGCACCTGCCAAAGTTTGTCGCGAAATGCAGTCATGTCAATCAAACGGTCTCCACGCTCTGAGTAATAATACAAACCACCTTTCTCAGTAGTAGCAGGGTTGCTAAGTATATCCTCCGCCTATGAAACAAATTGCATCAAATAAGAAATTAGAAATACACAACAAAAGAAAAACTACAAAATAAAGTTTTTAAAGATAGTAGCTTACCAGAAACCCATACTTAACACTAGAAACAATCTGGGAAGACTTTGATGAAGTATCGGGAGTCTTAAATTGAATAACATCAAGCAATTCTAGCACCTGCATTTGAATACCAAGAAAAGGAAGATGAAATGACAACTGGCTTTTCCACAATACAAAGTGTATACTGAAAAGGATGTATTGGCAAGAAAGGATGTCATAGCAAAAGAAAAGATTATTCCATTCAATAGGGAAGGATAGCACATGCATTGATAAGCACTAAAACAGATTCATGAGATAAGTGGCATAGCAGTAGCAGCAGTAACATAGGGCACAGAAACACAAAAAATGCAAAATCTTTTTTTAACAATAAGATAATTTTCTGTGAGCACTTTATTATAAAAAGGAAAGGAGTGAAAAAATGGATTAAATTTATGACTGAGTAACAATAAGATAATTTTCTGTGAGCACTTTATTAGAAATTAAAAGGGAAAGGAGTGAAAATGGATAAAATTGATGATTGAGATGAAGAAGTTTCTGCATGTAGATTTAACCACAAAGATTATTTGAGAGTAGTTAATGTACACCAAACCTTTTAAGAATAGTTACCAGTAATCATCAAGTAGGCTTCCCAGAAAATTATAGCAGATTGATTCTTATACACCCATCACTTAGTGAGCTTGAATTACCTTCTTTTTGAATTATAATTACCATTACTAACCCTAGCCAAAAGAGGTGTGTAGACAATGTAACAACCATTACCTTGTTCTTACTAATCATTTTTGCTCCAGCAATATTAGGACTGCCTGGAGCAATGGAATCATCAGAATTGCCCAGTCCAAATAGTTCAGATATAATACTTTGACAAGCTTCTCGATGTGTAGAACTAGACATATCTGCAGCATGTAATTCTACAGCTAACAGCTTCAAAAGCCACGCTCTCTGCACAAGTAAAAGTAAGTGAGCCCCAAAGACATTAGTTTAGAAAGCATTGAAAGAAGAAACTGAAGATAGCATAGGGGTCTATCCTTTTTTAGTGAATTGCAACAGAACACTCATAACCTTCCAATTGATCATACTGAATACTTAAAGTCATGCACTCATGCTACCTAACCAGTGCAGGTGATGAACAAACACACTTGCTCATCCGCATTGCAAATAAACCAGAACAGATGGAACCAAATGATTATATCTTGAAGTAGCAATCTTCATGAAAAGAACATCAAATTTCAAGAAAAAGAGAGTTGATCACTTGATGTGCAATTGATATAGTTCATGTAAAATATAACACGCTCAACATGTCAGACTACAGGATTACACAACACTATAAAGTGCACTTAAGTAGAATGAGCTAGGAATAAACCAGAACAGATGGAGGCATTGCAAATAAACCAGAACAGATGGAACCAAATGATTATATCTTGAAGTAGCAATCTTCATGAAAAGAACAGCAAATTTCAAGAAAAAGAGAGTTGATCACTTGAAGTGCAATTGATATAGTTCATGTAAAATATAACACGCTCAACATGTCAGACTACAGGATTACACAACACTATAAAGTGCACTTATGTAGAATGAGCTAGGAATAAAGCAGAATTTAGCCCACAGACAGACCTGATGAAGGGAACTGATGCGAAGTGCCTGGCTATTATTTCTTTTTGGAAGTGGAGCAACACCAATTGTATCCACATGCTGTTACAATAATATATCAGACCTTTTTTAAAATAAATACAATTAAGTAGGACTTGTATTCAAAAGTACGGTAGAAAATTAAACTAAAATTCATTGAATTATGCAGCATTTACCTTTATGAAGAACTGATATCTTTTAGTGCTTAACAAATCCATAATAGGACCACAAGTTAACGGATCTATGCACAACTCATAGAGAAGCTGCATAAAAGAAATTGTTGATGTACTCACAAAGTTAGAGAAATAGATAACAATCCACAACCAGGATGCAACACAAGACTAATTTAGTCGTTCAGCACTTAGCCTTTGCAGAAGTTTGGATTAAAAACCTGAATCAATTATCAGAAGATATCTAACCTGAAAACCAAATTCGTGAAGCAAAGCATTGGCATCTGGCTTGAAAAGCTTTTCCAGTTGATCAAGAATGACCTTCAAGCAACTAGAGAACAAATAAAATGCTCACCTCATTATCTTAGCATAAGATACATGAGAAATAGGAGTGAGGGCAAGATTGGAACCTGTAATGAAATTTTGGCTGAAGCATGGTCCTCTCAATAGGGCTATCAAGATCAAACTTGAGCAACAAGTGTGTGATATTAGGGACAGGCCTGCTGATATTATCAATAAGAAGCTGCAATTGGAGGGATTAGATCATTCAGGGCTTTTAACTATCAATAATGAAAAGAACTTGCCAAAAGTCAACTAGCTCAAATTGGGAGGGCAAACAGAAAAACAATAATAGAACACATGTTTCTCCTGAAATTAGATTATTGCAACTCATAACCAACTTCACTTGATATGCGATCAAGTATTATGGAAAAAGAGAAGGCACAAGTTTTCCATTCAAATTTCCACATAATTTCTAGTAATACTGTTTCATTTCACGTTAGTTTTTATAAAATTCCAGCAATGAACTGCATCTACATATAGGTAAAACATTGAAACTATGTAGTATGTAGTCAAAACAATCCTAGCAAACCTGACTATTGCAATGAGCATGAAGGGAAAAAGCACAAACTTACACAAAAACAGAAAAATAGAACCCTAACTCCCCAAAACAATCTTCTAACATATGGAAGGTGCCCTGAATAAGCATTAAGAAATTAAGTCATAAAACAGCTATTGGAACACTAAAATCCCAACCTAAAAGCTCTTAGTAAAAATCTATCTTCTTTTGACTCTAGACTTAAAACATTGCCACTCGCTGGATGCATCAGTGCATTTCATCAATATTGGACCGAATTGGACTAACAGTATTATAAACCATAGTACACATTGACCAAATATTACAAGACACAAATGCTCATCTAGTAGCCAAATTCCAAATATTTTCTATAACTCAATTTCGTTCAACTTTTCACCTGGTTCTCTTATAGTATTATCTGTTTAATGTGCCTCAGTTACTCAGTAGCCAGTAAAGTTATGATATTCAAGATTGATAGCAGAGATGAAAACTTTATAATTCTATTATAAGGATTGATGGTTCCCATCACAATGGAAACCCAATGTATTACAGCCATAAAATTAGATGAACAGTGGCTGATATAGTGGTGAAAGTTCATACTTACATATACGAATGCTTTTTATGGATTGACAGAGATTAGTAAATAAGAAAAATAAACTTAATTCCAGACATTCCTAACTAGATCCATGAGGAAAAGGAAATAGTAGAAAAGACTTACTTGCAGTATGAGTATACCGGGATCTTCACTGCTATCCTCAATAAATTGGCATTCTTCAGAGCGTAACTCTAAGCAAGCAGCATAATCCTCAATCAAGCACCCTGCAGCATTGGATTTCAAGAGTAGCTGAACAAGCCCAACCATGCGAGAACTGCCATTCATATACAAAATCATCATCTAGAAATGAAATATTTTTGCATAATAGGTGGCATCAATAAGGAAACAAAACACACTAAAAGGGATGCCAAAACCTTAGGACACTCATTATTTTAATAGAGCATAGCTGAATACGAGGCTGCATATCATATCGGACATACTCCAACAAAGCCAGAACTTGATTATGGTCTTGAGAAAGAATGACATCCAAGGGCTGGATAAGAAAGAATCAGCAGATAGACACTAAAATATCATCCAGGAAACAAACTAGCATTAAGCCAAACATGTGAAAAAACAATTATCAACTGAAAATTAAAATTAAGAATATCTCAGCCCAGTTTTGAGTTTATGATTAGATTGCATAAAGAGGAAGAGATTAAATATTGGGGAAAAGCATTGGCAAAAGGTAAATAGGAATTATATCTGATTTAATACCTGGTATACAGGACGCCAGAAATCAGAAACAATTAAATCTTTCTCTAAAATGAGAACTATAATCTCCAGCGAGAGGAGGACTGCCTTTTCAAGAAGTTGTCCATGACTTTGACTTGTTCTTTCATTTATAAGGAAATTAACTCCTGGTGAAAGAATACTCATAACATTCCGGAAAACACTCTTACCACTCATAAAATCCTGCAAAAGAAGAAATATTTGTTCATAACTAAATTAAAATTAGAACGCGGGTCAGGGCGCGGAGGGGGAGCGATAACACATACAACTCAACTGCAAAAACAATACGGCTACTAGAACAATAAGAAGCACAAGAACAAATACTACTACTACTGAAATGAACTTCAATCAATTGAAAGAAGGTAAATACTTTCAACAGCTCAATAACTGGGAGCTGCATTTGAAGGGGAGCGGATTGTCCCACATCAGAAAGACGAGAATCATCAGCAATACTGTCAATATCTTCATCCCTGATGTCATACATGCTGAGCATCCTGCAAATCCCAAATATTGAACACAAGAGTTCAGCACTTCATAGAAGATATTACAATAAAGTTACACTAGGCCCATATAATTATTGTTGTCAAAATCAAAAATATAGAAGCAAGTCTAACAGAGATATTATGGAAAGATGACTAACATCCGGAAATGATTGAGGCAAGCAATGACCAGCTGCCATTTCTCAGAAGGATCTGCATAGGCTCTCTGGGGAAATGGCCCAAACACCTGATCATAAATGAATTTAAAAATGCCAATGAATCTGCAAGGATGCAACCCAATGTTAGAAAGAACAAAAGTGGGAAAAGAGAGAGAGAAGTCGGAGAACACATAATTTCCAAAAACTCAATACCTGCGGCCTCTATCAGTAACATCCTTCTCCTCAGCAATGAGAGTATTTAACAAATTAATGAATGAAATAGTCGAAGGGTATTGTTCCCTTCTTGCTTCTATTTCGTTCAGCTCAAATCGCATATCATAAACCTGTGTCAATACATATAAAATGGGATCATAAGCATCTAAAGTGGAAGAAAGGTCAAGAGAGGGGGGGTGGGGGTGGGTGGAGGAGGAAGGTGATGAGAATTTGCAAAGTTCAGAGAGATTAAACATATTGTGTCATCAACATAATCATAGCACCAAAAGAAAATACATTCTTTAAAATCAACGGATTATTTATGTGATTTGAGAAACCCCATCTCAACCCCCCAAAGGGAAAAGTGTCATAAGATTACCAAAAGAAAAGGTAGGATTTCATTAATTAAAGCATGTGCTCCATCTCAACTAAAAGCCTAAGCTAATAGTTGGATTGCACATTAATGGCTACGCCCCCTCACGTGTGCGGTGGGTTCCAAGCAACACGTGGACCGGTAAACCGTAGTCGCTTATGAGTGGCGCTGAGATTCGAACACATGACCTTTGGTCTGGCTCTGATACCAAATTAAAGCATTTGCTCCATCTCAACTAAAAGCCTAAGCTAATAGTTGGATTGCACGGTAATGGCTATATGCTCACATCATTTAGATCAACATAGAAAATCAGGCAAATGATACTATCAATAAAAGTTCCAGACCTTTCACTAACAACGTAGAAATAACATGACAGTTATTTCCACAAATCACAACATTATGTTTGATAAAGGCCGTCCAAAATCCAAATAACAAACCTGTGTTGCCATTGGTTGTCCAGTACTCCCAGCAAGATGTCCAACAACTACTGGTAAATCATACTGCTCTAAATATCTCCAAATCGTATCTTTCATAACAGGAGAAATGTTAATGAAACTAGCAATTGTATTTCGCAAGGCACCCTGTCAAACAGAAAGTACAGAAGATAATCAGGAGCTTAACTCAATAGCAGCACTGTGGTAAAATGGACAGAAAGTTCCCCAAAAAAATCATAAAGATGAAAGATAGAAATAGTCAAGGTCCAAACCTTAAGATAAGGAGGCACATTTTCATATCCAAGTAGTTTGAATAATGGCTCAATATCAGAAAACCAATTCTTTCGTTCAATGGGATTTGCATTTTCAACAACCTGTATACATTACCAAAAAAAATCCAAATTATTAACTGACACCAATAGAAACTAAGACTAGAATGGGGGAACAAACACAAACAGTTCAGCAAATGTCACCTTTTGTAGAACATTCAAGTATGCAACAAGAGCCTTGGCATCTCCTTCTTCTATCTCAGGTAACATTGCACCAGGACTCTGGATGGCTTGTTTAAACTTCTCTTCATAAATTGATAAGCAACTGAATAGAGTATTCCACCCTATAGAACGGAATGTCTTGCCTTGAAGTAACTCAAAAACTTTGGATGAACCCTCAGTACTAGAAGCCTGGTTTAAGGTATGATATAATTTAGAATGTACTCAATATAATGCTTCTGATACATGATAAAAGTACGAAATTGCCAAATAGTGAAAACTTCACTTACCAAGGTACTCAGCATCTTCAAAAATGCAACAAGTGTATGAAAATTAGTGTGGTCCTCACCAGCAAAGTAGACAAAAGTCCACAAGACATCATTGCCAGACAGCAGCTCAGGTTCCCTCTAGTACAGTTAAAGAACAACTATAATAAAAACATATACACTAATAGAAGTATGGAAACACAGGAAATAGAAAAGAAATCCAAAGTGAATGTGTTCATCTCTCTCACTTCACAAAAATGTCAGTTTAACACAGAGTTGGGAACTGGGAACTGGGAACTCCAAATGCTCCAAATAGCCAACTGCCAACTGACTTCAATTGTCAATACTCACTTATCCCCAGATCAATAGTCATCACACCAAAGTCAAGAGCAATCTCTCTTTCAATTCCAACATCTAGTTTTCGGACAAAAGAGTTCCAATTATCTACCTTAACCCACTTTACTCTGGTCTCCAAAAACTTATATGGGTAAGATACTCTACATTATTAGGTTTAGTTTTACATCCAACTATCCTATCAACAGTTCACAGCATTAGTACATAATTCCTGACCTCAAAATAAAGACCCATTATGGACAAAGTGAAAATTTTTATACGCTATAAATGGTTACAGATACATTGCCATTAAGCAAGCATGTTGGGTAGGCCATCATCTTAAAACACCTAGCAAACTCAAAAGAAATTGGATTTCATCCCCAAACCCCCACCCAGATAATAATAATAATAATAATAATAATAATAATAATAATAATAATAATAATAATAATAGTAACAATAATAATAACATTAAAAATGCACTAACCTGATAAATTTCACTAACAAACTCTAAAAGAGAGATAAAAGCTTGAGGTGCTGGTTCAGTCTTCTGAGCATGCATGCTTCTATCTACCATATGGTCATGAGAACTGGCCATGCGATATGGACTAAGTTCAGTCATAGCCTTGTCTTTTACTTCTTTGACCTTTCAAAAGACAGTAAGGCACTGTAAAATATAAGATAGAAAGACTAGAAAAGGAATATAAGAAGTTTATGTTAACAGTAAGAGAAACATATTGTAAACATCCCAAACTACTACAATAATTTCGAAAACATGACTTCAGTGAAAACTGAGCACCACAAATTTGTGAATGCTCCAAAAGGGAAAAGAAACTATGCTTACAGTCTAGGCTGAGAGGGAAATGTACAAACCTTATCTCGGGCAAGAGGATTAGACAGAAAGCAGGTCATCATCTTGTGCAAATAAGCATTATACATATAAACCATATCCTCATCGTCATTCTGCCCACATAAAAGAGAGAACCTAAAGTCAGTTTGGCTTGAGCAAAAAATGCAAATAATAATAATAAGTATAATGTGTAAAATCTCTAGCTGAAGAATGGATAAAATTATACAGAGGCCATTGATTAAGAAGAACTAGACATCTTTTCAATATCTTTTTTAGCCCTTCTTGCTCTCATGAAGTTCAAAGTCAGTATTACTTTGTAATTTGCTAAAGCTCCAGGCTTAATGTACTATTTAACCTATGAGTAAATAATACCATTACATATAAAGAAGAATTCAATGGCACAAGAATTAACCAGAGACAGACAAACCAACCCCTAAGGTTGTAAAGTAAAGAACCAGGGTACTATATCCTTTTAATGTTGAAATTTTATGAGCAGATTACCAAATAGCCAAATTGCGACAAGTGTACTGTACATCACAAGTAACACTAACCAGATAAGCAGGAATTTGAAGAATGTTCTTCATCCAAAACTGGAAAACATTGTCAGAGAATATGACTTCTAAGCATGTGTTAATGTGTCGCAGGTCATGTGACGAGACAATAGGCTCTTGAGCATCAACTCCATCATGGATTAACATTAAATGTACAAGCCAAGCATGCCTTACGCAACTAACATAGCCTTTAACAACAGGATCTTCCACAGTGACCATTACCTAGAGGAACAGTCACAGGTTCTAATTCATAAAAATAGCAATAATCAGATATTCAAAAGCATTAGTTCTACTTACAGATTCCTGAAATTCATGCCGAAAAGAAGCATCTCTAGTCAAGATAGATGCTTTATCAGGAACTGCACTCAATGCATCTGATACTAAAGCAACCACAATAGAAAAAAGGAGGCCATGTGTTATCTGCAAAATTGTGCGAAAACAGTCAAATAGAAATCCACACAAAACAATGAAGAGTGTTGGTAGCAATTTCATTCTCTAAATTAGCAAGTTTAGGGGGACTTTGGGCAAATCAGCCAAAGTGGTTATATTCTTAACTGCCAGCAAAGAATGTAGATCATTGGCTACCACCAAGATGAGCAAAGGGTGCAGGACGAAATCTAGTACTGATATTTAGAAATGCCTTCAGCACATTATTATTATTTTTTTAAATTAAAAACTGAAAAGAAGAAAAGCACAGGAAAATGAAGAGGATTGGAACCATAAAAGAAGCTAGCTAGCCAATTCAACACTAGAAACAACTAGTAGCCATGTACATTCCAGCTAACAACTCCTCATTCCATTCAGGCTAACCCTTTGCTCCAGTATCTAACACAAAACCAATAAAACGCGACTCAACGCTTTAACTACTCAGTGCAATCACTATTCCTCGCTTTGCATTGAAATTAAAGTATTTCACCATCACAAAATGCTTGGAATGATAAGCAAGACCTGTTGTTTTAAGGTATCAGTGTTTGAATTAAGTTCCACTGCACTGTCTTTCAGAGCAGAAAAGACATCTTTTATATCTTTGGGGCCTGCAAACATTACAAATTATAAAATTATCAATAACGGTGAAAATGCAATAGAAGAACTGAAGAAGAGACAGTGAGCCCTGATGGCATCATGGCACAAGGACACATAATACTATTTACTTTAATATATACTTTAAGAGATGGTAATAGAATAGAAAAAAAAAAAAAAAAAAAAACCCTAAAAAAGAACAACCAAGAATTTAAAGCTAAATAAGCATAGATTCAACCACTTTAGAACAGGATACAAAATTCAGAATTGGTTAGAGTTTAAAGGGTGAATATATATATATATATATATATATATATATATATATATATATATATATATATATATATAGTATGTGAACAATTTAAGAGATTTAGTCATTTAGAGAATACTGTTTATTGAGATGGATGACCATACAAGTTGTAATATTCTTACCCAGAAACAAAAAAAAAAAAACTTTTCTAAACTTGATAAGTACATTTGGATTAAGCATACAAGTTTTCAAGCAATTTCATCATTCTAACATCACAAAGAAGATTATGCAAACACAATTATTTGCAAGATCAGAAAACACCCTGGTAACCCCCTCATATTCTATGACCCAAAAACTGAATAAAGCCCTAAGAGAAAGAAGCAAATGATATAAAGCATCTTGTTTAAGTGTCTAAATTAAAAGCTGAACAGTTTCTGTTATAACTTATAACAAATGCAAATGGAAGAAGCTTAAAATAGAGAGGCAACCAAAAATTATAGTAGGATATAAAAAATAAAAAAGAAAAAGAAAACTAAATAAAATATTCAAAAATACTTATTAAAAAAAACAAACAAAGAATCTTGCAGTAGAAAAGCTCCGACTAGAAATCAGCCATTTGTTGCTTACTTGCCCGTACAATCAAAACAGAGAGGATAAGGCAATGAGTAAGAATGAGCCTTTCCCTAGAAACCACAGCTCTCCGTTCCACTAGAGCACCTCTGGAATCAAGAATATAGAGTTCACAGTTTGGCCCACCCAAGCCAGCTGGTTCTTCTCGATTCAGTTCCTGGAAATTTAACCCCCAAAAAAATTGACATGAAGATATTTGCACCTTTACAAAACAATAAAAAAATGTCTAATAAACAAGAAACTGTGATGCAGCTAGAAGCATGTATTGATTACATAATTTGTAATGGTCATCATACAATTGGACAAGGTTTCAGAGAACTTGAAAACGCTTCATTCTGACTAAAAACACCATGAATTTGAAAAAGAATGATTGACTTTATAAGATAAAGATTAATTTTTGACCCATTTATAAGAAACCTACACTGGATATGTATTGATAAAACCCTTTGTATTTTCTAACTTCTCCTGAAACTAGGCTAGGAGGAGAGTTCTAGATGAATCAAATGCTCATCTGAACTTTCAAATCGTATTGAGTAAAAGTTGACCATGGAGTCTATTCAGGCATGAAACTATCCAGCCAAAGTAGAAATTTGATCAGAAGAAAAAAGAAAAGTGTCAAAGTTCTATACATAATGATGCACAAGTATTTCCAAATGAAAGACATAAAGGCAATCCAGTTAGTGTAAGGACCTTTATTAGTGTAATCAACCGCTGTCTAACTCCTGCATTAATAAGATCCTCCAAATATCTCTGTAGGTCTGTCACAAGATCGGCATCAAGTCCTTGATCAAGGACAACAGCCTACATAAATCGAGAATTTAATGGGGAGATAACCAGAAACAGAGTCTTATCATATAAATAAGAACGAAAAATACCCTTAATAGCATGTAAAGTGCTGTTATTAGATCTCTTCTCTCAGTATACCAAAGTCCTGCAGCAAGGCGCAGAATTTCTAAAGGATCTCGCCCCAATAAACCCCACTGCAATCAAAGGTAACATAATTCTTTTATATTGAGCAATGTAAAATCTAAATTTTAGAATATCAAAAAAAAAAAAAAAAAACAATAGACTTACCTCCTGATTAGCAGAAATAAGTAATCGCACGCATTCTATCTCATTAAGATGGAGATCATCGCTCAATTTCAACGCCTAGAATCCAACAATAAAGAAGATTTTAGGCAAAAGGCTACAGTCAACTCATGACAAGCAATGCAATATAGACCTGCTAACATCCAAGAAACTACTGCAACAGGTTATAAAAATCATATTGAACACAATAAGACAGGCAAGATTCTTGTAGAAAACAATTTGCATAATTTAATAGGAAAATAAATTAACTAATAAACTACTGAAGCAGGTAATAGAAGTATTAATATCAATAAGATGGATAACATAGCATACCTGTAAAAGATAAATGGTTACATTTAGTATAAAAAAGTTAACATAAGGAAAAGTTGACTGATAAACATCATGTGTGATAAACTGAAAATGTTTAGATATATTGCCATCAATCATCATATTAGTATTGACATATAAAGAGTATGATAAGTCTTATACAATAAGTTGTCAATCCAAATATTGTAGTTATACTTGTTTATTTACCACCTCCAAAGCAAAAAAAGTCTGAACACATGTCAATCAGAATAAGAAAGCAAGGGGAGAGAGTGCAAATAAATATGTTCCTAAGTATGGCAAAAATGTCATCCACAATAACATATTTGAAATACTCCAATTATAATTTTCCACGAATGTATATAATCCGATAAGAGTTTTACCTAAAAGTGTTAAAAATATCTAGCATGAAACCTAATCATAAGCAAAGTTTAGGAGAACAAAACAGAAAAAGATTAGAAGAACTCACTATCTGAACATCCTGATCATCAAGTGATATTGGACCAGAATCCGGAAGTCTCACTTCTTTAGACTGTACTTGAGCTCTGTCTGAGGGCTTTGGAGGCTGTGCATTTGGTGGAAAAATAAACACAGTATTATTTCATAGCAATCAAAAGATTTTACTAATGTCCATCTTGCTAACAGAAAATGCAATTCAAAGCATTTCCCATCAACTAAACAAAGACAACATTCTTCAAGAACAAACTACAAATTTCCCTCACTTGTCTACAAACATTTCTTCAAACTCATTACACACTCTTCAAGATAATTGGTGAACTTAATGAGCAATGAATCGCGTTTAAAGCAGAAACGTTTACCACATTTCTCTCACCCATTCTAAAAAATGAGCTGAAATGGTTAAATTATTGTAGAACTCGAAATCAGCTTAGTTCACTAACATTGTGAACTTAATGAGCAAGGAACCACGTTTAAAGCAGAACTTTTTACCAGATTTATCATACCCATACTTCAACAAACAAAATGCGAGCTGAAACGGCTAAACTACCTTAGAACCCAAAATCAACTTAGTTAACTAGCATTCTCTACCCCCCCAAAAAAAAACAAAAACAAAAACTTCGATACCATCCCAAACAATACAATACCGGGTAGGAGACGAGGGAGCGGAGAGAAGGGAGGGAGTGGCGGATGGCGTGGAGCAACTCCACCTTCTGCGATGGCGGAGGAGGAGTGGGCCCCAATACGGAGGACTCGATTAAGGTGAGTAAGTGCTTCGGTGACACCATCACTCTTTGCTAATCAGATTGGAGCTCGAACTCAAAGAATGCCCTCAGACACACTGTGATTTGAAGCACAGAGAGATATATCGGAGCGAGGGAAAAGCCCTAACTCAGGGTTTTTGGTCACCGAAACCAGCTCTTAGAGAATATGATTTTTTTAGGGTGTGTTTGAAAATTAGAAAAATGTTTTTTGAAAAAAAATGAATCATATTTATAAAAATATTTTTGGTGATTGGATATATTCTGAAAAATTATCTTGATGTGTTTGGTTATTTTTTAAAAGATAAGTAAAATTGTATAACAAAATATTTTAATTGTTTTATTTAAAATATAAAAATATTTATAATAATATTAAAAATAATATTATTTATTATAAATTTAAAAAAAAAAAAAAAAACGACTAGTTTCTTGCGGAAATCTGCTGATTATCAAGGTTGTGCTCATCGATGTAGTTGTAATCTGTGGAAAATTACTTCCGTCAAAAGTTGGCGGAAGTCAAATTTCTCAAACCCGTTTTCCTTACCGAAAAATGATATTCGTTGACTTCAATTATTCAAACTCTTCCAAACATTGGAAACCCGATAAATGATTTCGAGAAATCATTTTTCAGATTTCCAAACACACTCCTAAAGATACATGAGGGAAAATACAAGGAAATGAAGGGGAACACACACACACACACAAAAAATAAAAAATAAAATAAAATAAAATAAAATAAAATATATATATATATATATATATATATATATATATATATATATATATATATATATATATATATATATAAATAAATATTGCATTTGCTTTTTTTTTTTTTGGTCATATGGTAGTATGGCACTATGAGACTAATTCATATTTAATACATCACACCATAAAGTTTATCTTATACTTGAGAAAAACTTAACTAAAATTTTTTTTTAAACCACTGTCACCGCCCTCCACCTCCGGTCATGATCTTTGAGTCATATGACGAACCAACTTTTTTTTTTACTCTAATAACATTACATGTATTCCTATTGTTGACTTTACATTTTCAATCTTATGTACAATTTTCTTTCACTTTCAAAATGTCATATCATTACATTTACAATTATTCACTATTCACTTTCTAAGACTGAGATGCAATTGCATTTTTCACCTGCGGCCTTCACCGCACTAGAGCCTAAGCCTATATATACAATCTATGAATTAAATCATATCTAGATAGTGAATTTTATCCCCAATTATTTCGTGTGCATTATTCCTTATGCCGTTTGGTTCAAGGAAAGTATTTGAAGAGGAATGTAATTGAAATTTCATTAAAAAGAAATTACCAGGACGATTAATTTCATTGTTTGGTTGGTAAAAAAATTTATTAGAAATTTTGATTGTGTTTGAAATTGTAAAGAATAATGTGTATACAGATCAAACCAATATGCCCTTACACAATAATAATTATAATAAAAGTTTTAAAGAGTTGGGTTTTTGGTTCATACCCTCACGACTATTTGGTTTGCGGAAAATATTAAAGGAGAGATGGATTTGAAATATCATAAAATAATAAATTAGCATGAAGATTAATTCCATTGTTTGGTTGATACAAAAGAAATTACTGGTATATTGATTCCATTATTTGGTTGGGTTTGAAATTGTAAGAAATAATGATTGTAAAGACCAATATTTCATACACAATACAAATCTTAATAACTATAATAAAGCTATATGGTTTCGGAAGTAATTAATGTTACAATTATTATTTTGGTAAGTAATTATTGTTATAATTATTGTCTCTATCCTTATTAATATAAAATAGTCACAACATCTTTTACTATAAAAAAAATTGAAAAATAAAATAACTATTTTTTCTCGTCCATAACAAAGGATTACATTTATTGAATTAATGGAATTATTAAATGTTATGATATTATGATTAAGGATTTCGATTCCCGATTAATAGAAAATATGAAACGATGCAATATTAATTAAATATCTGACTTTAAAATGAAAGTCTATTTGATATGTTGTTGTTATTTATGGTGCTTCTTGGGATTACAATATTAATTAAATTTTCGATGAAAGCCTATTCGATATCTGAAACAGTGCAATTAATGCAAGCCTCTACATATAATTTTTCTCCCTCTCAAATGGTTCAGAGAAATGACAAAAGCTAGAAGGGATGAAGAAAGCAAATGCTGCGGGCCGTGGGTCAATTATTGGACTTCAGAATAAAAAAAAAAATCATTTGAGCCATAAATAAAAATTTAAATATATATAAATGTATATATCGTATGGGTCTTTAATGTTTTTCTTGATTTCTAAACTTAGGACTTTTAAAAGAAAAAAAAAATACATTTGAATTATCTCCACAAAAAAAAGTATTGGGCTTATAGAATGATATTTTGGGTTTATGGAATGACATGTGCATAAAGAATATATTATATAAACATATAAAAAAAATGTGTTCAATTATAGTTTAAATTTACTCATACAAAATTTGAAATTTGCTTTCTAAATGTAATTATATTAGTTATTATTCGTATTGTGAAAATTATAATATAGATGAAATACAATTAAGAATAAATCAATGTAATCATGTAAATTCTCTTAAGTTTATTTGAATATGTACATAATTAGAGATTATATTAACCATACAAAATTTTAATTTTAATTTTAATTGTAATTTTGTATTCTATAAAAATAATAAATACTTGACCAATGGAAGTTCAAAATATTATTATATTAAACAATTTAAAATATTTTTATTTTTTCTATTTTTATTTATATTTATAATAACATAATTTCTTCCCCGTGCATCGCGCGGGAGAATTACTAGTAATAATAATAAAGTAATAGTGATTTTTAAATAAAAATATTACTCCATTTGTCTAATTTTACCTCTCATGTTTACTATTCACGCGTCAAACCAACTCTTTATTCTTTATTTATTTTGTTAATATTTTTATTTATTTTTAAATTTATTTATTTTTTGTTTTTAATAGTACGTTCTTTCCAAATATATAGATTTTGTGTATTAATACTAAACTTAATATTATGAAAAATTTAATTAAAAATAACTTCAGTCAAGTCGTATTAACCGAACTAGGACACATAAAATGAGACGTAGAAAATATAATCTATAAACTACAATATCATATGTTAAAATATTATAATCATATATTTTATTATAATAATATAATAAAAATTATTAACATATTTGGGTTACAAGTAATTAAAAAAGTTCTATGATGGAAAAATTGTCCTACCAAGTGTAAATTGTATCCAATGTTCATTGAAAATAAAAGGAAAAAGAGTCAAATAGATCCCTAAACTTTACACCAAAAGTCAATTAGATACATGAACTTTAAAAAAGTACAAATAAATCCTCAAACATGTTATTTTTGTGCAACTAAATCCATCAATCGGTAACAACCCTATTATAGGTAGTCATTCTCATTCCGACGAATCTCCGACCACAACAATTTTAAGTTGCCTTTTCTGGTCTCATTCTCTCCGGATAAGGTGACATTTTCTGGTTGCCTCTCCGAAGAAGGCGACCTTTTCTAGGTGCTTTCTCCTGCAAATTAAAGCGACCTTTACTGGTCGCCTTCGTCGGATAAGGCAACCATTTGGTCGATGGCCGATGTTTTTATGTAAAATTTCTCCTGGACAATGCCGGTCAACGCACGGTGTAATTTTACCGGTAACATGTTGATTACCGGTAAATTTGACTTATTTGACAAAAAATAACATGTTTGACGATTTAATTGTACTTTTTAAAAATTTTAGATGCCTAATTAACTTTTTGTGTAAAGTTTAAGGATCTATATGATCTTTTTCCTAAAATAAAATACTAATGTTGAGCAAAGAAAATGTTTTTTCATATGCTAGGAAAAACTTTTTCGATGAAAATTTCCATGAATTGAACCAAATGATGAAATTAAAAATTCAATTTTCCTAAAATTAAAAAAATAATAAAAATTGTTCTTTGAGAAAAGTTTTTCATCGAACCAAACACCACTTCTTTGGTCATTAGCTTTTAAATAATGTTAAATTTGTTATTCCCACCTTTTAAAGGGCTTTCATAAGGGTGGCATGAAAAATATAACATCCATTGAAAAATGATCGGAAGTTATATATATCTACTATACTAATAAGAGCCCAAGAGAGTTAGGCCTATAATGGGTAAAAAAAAGTGTCTGTCACAGATTTTAATCAAATGAATGGCTCAGATTAATCGAAAAATTGATCAAATTAAAATTTTACAATGAGATTTACTTAAATACCCACACACCGTTAGTCCATCCGTTAAAATTTTTAATTCACCGTTAAGTCAATCTCACCTTTCATCCGTTTAGTATATATCTTTTGTGCGTTGGTTTCCTGAATGAATTGAATCTCATCAGTAGCCGACAGAGCAGAGGATATCTCTGGAGTCTGCTCTCCCCACCCATAATCAGTACAGTCCAAGGAATTCACGGGCGGTTTTTGTTCCAAAACACTCATAGGATCATAATAGCTATTGTCCATGCTACTCGCATCAGGTTGAACAGTCTTAGGAACCACCTTCCGTGGATTCACTTTAACGGTGCGCCTAGACGATTTTGTTTGAGTTTCAAAAGCCGCAGATCGCAGGCCTTCGGAATAGTAGCTTCCTGCAAAATTCTTATTCTTCTTCCCACCTGCGCTGCTCCGATCAGCGATTCCCCATAGCAACTCAGAGGTCAGCCGGCGCGACGTCCGGGCCGGCGGTTTGATATCGGAGATTATTGCACCACCAAACAAAACTCCTTCTCAGATTGTACTAATAGACCTCCTTCCTCTGATCCCTCGATTTCAAATACCCCGTTTAGAAAAGGTTAGTTTTTTTATTAAAAACAATAAAAATCCCATCTTGTTTTTCCCCTTTCTCATCCGTTGATTAAACTTCATTCTTGGCAATTTCTGTTGTTGTGTGCCCTAATACAAGTTTAGGGCATAAAATTTTAAATATATACTAACATATTATGATAGAAATTGCAACTGCAACTCATGAGTATTATGGTTTGAAGGCAACTGCTGGTGGTGGTGGGCGTGGAATGCGTCTTGCTAAAGAACCTGATGAGTTTGTGAAGTTATTACAGGTGTGTTTATCATAACCCTATGGATACTCATATATTCATATATCACTATATTGTTGCATGGAG